AGTCAGCGCGGAGTGAGCGTGGCGTGGTCATGCTTTTTCTAAAACCTTTTGACGTATCCAGAACACTAGGTGCTCTGATACCAAGCTGTAACACCCCGCCTTGACTAGCTTTGACTTTTGAAAAATCAGAATAATTTTTTTTTTTTTTGAAATGTCGTGCGAGTTTATTTTCGAAAATACTTACTTATTGCGGGATGCTACTAAACTTACTTAACTTACTATTTTGGACGTGAATAAAACATGCAACTCATCGAGCCACTACAGCGATAGTGAAACATACATGTAGTCCGATAATCTCGCACTATTTAGTCTAGCGGAAGCTTTAAACTGAAAACATACATAACACACGCATACTTATAAATACATGTTCATGATTTTAAGACATAAAATACGTGTAAAAATGTCCTCTGCCCATGACCACGAATGCCACGTCTGCTCACCCGGCACGCTGGACTCCGACGCAAGTTCTCGAAGTAAGGTAGCGGTCAGAGGCTCGACTCTCCTTAGGCTACATAAACATATAAGTAAAAATATGCTAAGTATTGTGCAAAAATTAATTATTTTATATGCTTGACTTAGATGCTTGACCCGGGCGTATTTAGACTGTTATGGGATTTTTCTTAAAAATATTCTCAGTCCAGATATTTTCAGTTACCAGGTGGGAGCCTTTACAGGGCATTACGTTGCGCATTTCAGTTATCCTGTATGAGGTATGTGAATAAGTAAGTTACCCGAACGGTTGAATTATCCCGTTTGTGGTTAAATTAAGTTCTCCCAGGTGAGAGGCCGACCCAAGGGCCTTTCCATTCCACCTGGTACCCGATAAGGGCCGACCCAAGGGCCTTCAGTTTTATCGGATGTGTGCACACGAGCGGCTGAAGTAAGGGCCGACAAGGGTCTTTTAGACCACAGTATAAGTATAAGAAAAATGTTCCATTTCAGCAAAACTTATTTATTTATTCTATGCTGCTTTTAAGTTTATGTTTACAGTTAAGATTATTACAGTTCCAATTTTCCCACGAGCATGCAGATGTGCTCACACTCCCACAGTCTTTCTTATTTCAGGTGTCGGAGTCCAGCGTGCCGGGTGAGCAGACGTGGCATTCGTGGTCATGGGCAGAGGACATTTTTACACGCATTTTATGTCTTAAAATCATGAACATGTATTTATAAGTATGCGTGTGTTATGTATGTTTTCAGTTTAAAGCTTCCGCTAGACTAAGTAGTGCGAGATTATCGGACTACATGTATGTTTCACTATCGCCGTAGTGGCTCGATGAGTTGCATGTTTTATTCACGTCCAAAATAGTAAGTTAAGTAAGTTTAGTAGCATCCCGCAATAAGTAAGTATTTTCGAAAATAAACTCGCACGACATTTCGAAAATAAAAAAAAAATAAAAAAATTTACTCTGATTTTTCAAAAGTCAAAGCTAGTCAAGGCGGGGTGTTACAATGGCCCTCTCATCTTCTTCATCTCTGTCGGGGATGTGGACCATCTGGTGTCTTTCTTTCTCTTCGTTTGGTTTAGTAAACCTTTTCATCTGAGGGTTCCCAATGAGTTTTATGAGTGCTGATAGCAAGCTAAGGCACTCGTCGGTATTGTGACCTAGTGATTTGTGGTAGTCACAGTACCGAGATTTGTCCAATTGACTTTCTGGGGTCTTGATAGGTCGGGCTTCGGGGATAATTCCCCTTCCCTTTGATTTCATGATAGACCGCGGCGGCCCCAATTGAATAGATTGCACGATAACTAGACGTCAAATCTTCTTTCAACTGTCTTCTGGCTGCCTTCACCTCCGGGTCGTTGGGATCGCTTTGGAACGGCTCCCTGAACTTCGGGTTTTTCGAGGAACCGTCAAAGTGTTTTTTCTTCTTCTTGTTCTCAGAAGTCGGTTTTTTATCTTTCGAGGTAAATTCAAGATCAGGTACCGACATGGATTCTTCTGCAATAATGTGTTGTTGAGCTCGGGCAAGGAACTCCTGGAGGGTCCTGGGTTTGTCCTGACAAAGAGCCCAACGAAACATTGAATTTGGTTTCAAGCCCGACGTTGCGAGGACGAGTAGTGTCTCCTGGTGGCACAATTCCATATTTTGCACGCGTTCGTTGAAGCGAGCAATATAACTTTTCAAACTTTCGTCCTCCCGCTAAACGATATTGGAAATTGATTCTTTTGGGATCAGGCACACTTGGGCCCCAATGAAGTGTGACCGAAAAGCCGACCTGAGTTGGTACCAATATCGGATGGACTCGGCCGGTAACGAGTAATACCATTTTTGGGCTTTGGGTCTCAAAGTCAGGGAAAACATACGACATTTCAAAGCATCGTCAGCGCCATGCAAATCCATCCATGACGTGTAGTGACCGAGGTGAGCGTCGGGATCGGAGGTCCCGTCGTAGAGCCCAATCTGCGGGACTTTGACTTTTCTTGGTAATGGGCCCCTAGTCAACTCGAGTGCTAGCGGGGAGTCAATTTCGATGTATACGTGGCCGGGCTCAGAAACACGGGAGTGCAAGGGGTACCCGACTTGGGTTGCGCGTAAGGCTTCCAGCTCTGCGACCTTCCTTCTCAATGACTCCACTTCCGAGGTGTCGCATCTAGCGGCCTATTCCGTTCGATTTGTTGTCGCAAGTCGGCTGGGTTTTCGGGTTGTTGGAACAACGGCCGAGCTGCAGGGGGAACTCTCCGAGCGTGTCCTGAGTGACTTTCCGCAGTCATTTCAGGTGGATGCATCTCCGGCTGGTTCATTTCCGACAGGTTCATCTCTGGCGGGGTGACGTTGTCTGTCCGCAGGGCTTGTGGGTTGTTTTCACGTGGTTGCGACGTTGCGTGTGACGTGGCTTGGTTGTTGTCACGTCCTTGCATATGAGAGATTCGTTGTCTCGCCGGAGTTATTGGGGCAAGGGACTGTCCCGACATCCTTCTTGAAGGCCCCAGCATGGTTTGGGCCAACAACGCGGTGAATCCCCGGGCAAATTCTGGGTTCTGCATGAGCGTCGTCAGAACTGGCATTGTAGGTACCGGATTGTGGTGACCAGTGGGTTGCTTTAGGATGCGAACGGCGCTTTCCATGGTCGTCGGATTATCTTGTCCTGATTGCGACATGCTTGATTTAAGATGTGGTGTTTTGGAATCTCGAAAATTAACTCCAAATATCTTATGGAGCCCTTCCTCTAGCGCCAAAATGTTGATAAACGGATTTAACCAACGTAATTAAAATATAAAACATAGTAAAAATTGCAGAAAATATGGTTTTTATTGAGTTTTACAAGGTCGGTTACCGAATTGGGCAAGTCGGTATTTTAGTACATGAGATCAGTAACAGAACCGAGGTAATGAATGCTTGAATTTAATGTGTCGGGATCGGAATCCTCGTATCGACTTTAATGCTGCTATTTATAGTTATATCCGGCACACCTTCCAAGAAAATTCGGCCGTATTTAATGTGGACATGACGACTAAAGGGCGGCTATGATGCCGTCAGGCTTTTTAGGCAATGATGACAGCATGGGCACCCCTTTTACTGAGTGACAGGCGTCACTTCTGTCGGGGTGATGTCGGGTTTTCGTGACATCGGTCGTTCTACAGGGTTTTAACCTACTATGTCCTTCCAATAAACTCTTTTAGAACCGAGGTGACGATCCCGAGGTGTTCGTACGATGCTGGGACAATCTTGGCATCTGCTATTTGCTTCTTGGAAACCGAGGTGGTAATACCTAGGTGTCGATTCGATATCGAGATGGTGCCGAAGACCTTAATTGTAGCTCGAACTTCTATTAATTAACCCTAACATTCTCCTAAATCAACTCAAAATGTCCTTAATCTGTGTAACTCGGTTTTGATGTCAACATCAAGTAAGTAAATAAATCCTAAGGCAACTAAATATCTTGCTAATCAAGACTTTCCATGCAAATAAAATACTAATAGGCACATGTCTTTTATTCAAACTCCTAACTTAACTAAGACTCCTAAATAAGCTAAGTAAATCGAGCCCAACCGCCCGCGTGTTCGTGCCGCCTGTCAGCCCTAGTCCTTCTTGCGCGTGGTATCACGCGCGCGCGTCTCCCACACGTCGCCCGTCATGTGTGCTATGCGCCCGCGTGCCATCTTGCTCGTCCTCGCCACCTGCATGAGTGCCGCTCATGCCCGCTCGCTAGGCCCTTCGCCCTCGCTCGCCTATCGCCTCACGCGTGGTTCCAACCGTCACGCCCTGCTCGCGCCCGATCACGGTGCTCCTTGTTGCACCCGTCACCGCTCGTGCGCCCGCCTTTTCGCAGCCGCCCCACGTGCACGCTGTCCACCCTACATCCACCCCTCGTGCACCGTTTGCCTTTGCTTCCATTCGCCGTGCGTGACGTTCCCTTGCGCACGCCTTGCACCATTCCCCCACCTTCCCGGGCACTATCTTCTCGCACTCATCGTCAGCCCATTGCTCGCATTCTCGTGCACTTCTCGTCACGTACCTTTTCTTCACCTGGCCTAGACTCGCACGCCTCGTGGCTCGGTTGCCATGAGCTACCGGTGCTCGCGCCTTAGTGCGTGTATGCACTCTTTTTCCACTTCTTCAGGCCCTTTCTCGCCTATTCTCGCGCCATTCTCCCGGGCCATCATAGGTCTCGTCCTCGGGCTCGCAAGGGTCGATGACCACATCTTTATCATTCTCGCCCTCTTCGAGAATTTCCTTGTCCTCAAGGATGATGAAATTGATCTCATCAACTTCTTCAGGCTCCCAATTCCCGCCCAACCATTGCCGGCTCCACCACCAGTGCCGCAGTCAGAATTTCTCCCCCCATCGACTTCAAAATTCTCCGGCGTCGGCCGCTCCAGTGCCGACGGTCCGACAGATTCCCGTCATCAAGGCCGGCATCTCCATCCACCATCCATGTCTGTCGCCCTAGCCTCGCTATCATCCATGTCTGTCGCTTTAGAGTATCAATATGGCGTCGCAGATGCAGTACACCAGAGGAGAGAGCTCGCCGGAGAGCTCGATGGAGTTACCGCATGGAGACCTGCATTTGGGGCCCGGTAGTGGCTGCGGTTGATCGGATGCCAGAGCCCCTCACGGCGGCGTTGGAGAGCTATCGTGGCGGCGGAGCAGTCGCGGTTGACCGGATGCCAGAGCCCGTCGGCGATCCCGTCACGAGCTGGCGGCAGTGGTGACGTTCCTGCAACATAGAACAAAATGCATTATTAGGGATTTAGAGTGCAATTGATTTTTTTTAGAATTAGATAATGTTCAAGGGCCTATTTGTAATTTCTTTAATTTTTTATCGTTTTTCAATTTAATTCATGGTTATATTAAAAAATAATAATAATAATTCATGGGCAAATATATGATTATGGCAAAATATTTAATGAATGCATATTAATGATAAGTAAAATGTAAAATACTTAAAAAATTTAATATGAAATTTAGGAATATGTATATTAAAACCTTCTTGTATTACAAACTGCACCATATTGATACACTAATTGCATATTAATGATTCGAAAATGCACATTATCGTAGGCAATGATTGTAATGCCCCGTTTATTTGTGGATTATTTGGGATTTATTATTATTATTTTTATTGCTATTATTATTGTTATTATTAATTGGTGATAATATTTATATTTTATGTTATTGAATGCCATTATGTTTATTTATTTGTCAAATGTGATTAAATGCGAATTGTGAAATTTGTCTAATTGTTTAATTAATTTTGTGATTTATTAAATTATTAATATGAATAAATGTGTATGTGATAATGTGTAGAATATATATATTTATTTTTCGGTTTATTTTTATCGAGCGTTTGTATTCGAATTCGAGCCCGATAATTTTGTTGGAATCGAATTGGGCCCGAATATATCTGTTTACATTTTTATTTGAGCCCGTGAGCTGTTTTGTTATCCCAACCGGCCCAAAAATCCTATTGGCCCAAATTTCTCGGGCCCGGCCCGACAGATTTTCCTTTTCTTTTATTTTGGCGTGATTTTGTGTTGTCTTGGACAACAAGAAATTTTGTTCTTTTCCCAAACCTAATATAAATATGTGTATATATATATATATGGATCGTTTTTATTTTTTTTGTTCTCTCATCAAAACACCGCAGCCTCTATCGGATTTCTTCTCGTGAGATTTATCTTGTTCGTTCGATCGTTTTCATCATCCATCATCGATCATCATCTCCTTCTCTCACCATCACCATCGTCAACCCATCACCTTCATCTTCATCACCACCTCCGTCGCTCCAGTTGGATTTTCCGGCGAGCTTGATTTCCCTTCGAGCAGCAACTCCGGCGACCTTCCCGACGAGCCCGTGAACCAGCAGCAGCGACCTTTCTCCTTCCGTGCGACGAGCCTTCCTCTTCTGGCGAGACGAGCTTCCGTCGAGCCCGTTCGTATTCGTGACGTTTTCGAGTTATTCCCGAGAACGGTACCTCGTCGTTTTTTCGTCTCGTTTTATTCGTAGGTGATTTATTTCGTTGAGTGTTCATTTTCGTGAAGTGCTCGTGATATTTATGTGTGAATTTATTATGTGAATATGTGCGATTATATGTATTGTTGTGATTGATGTGTTCGTATGTTCGGGATCTCTTCGATTTTCTCAAAAATCGAACGAGACCTCGAAAGTTGTGTAAGTCGGTGGATATTGGAACAATGTCGAGTCCTTGGTCTTATGAAAAGGCCTCGGACGAGAAATTTTATGTTGTGAATTGATTGCTAAAGTCGTCGAGCTTGTTAATCGCTGTTTTGATGTTCGAATTTTTAAAAATAGCTCGCTGCTCGAAATGATGTGAAATTTTGAGGGATGTGTTATCTGTTCATATTCTGCCTTGTGTAAAACTTTCATAATTTTTGGAGGCCTGTAGCTATTTTTAATAATTAATTTGTATTTTGTCCAGAATATTGTTAAATACATAATAAATTCATGCTTGACTGAAATGAGCTGAAATTCGAATATGTCGTGCCTCTGTGACTTATATGTGTTGTGTTAAATTTTTGGAATTTTTGGAGTTGATTTGATATGGATAATATTTTATTTATTGATTCGGCAGAAATGTTGTTTGAATTTTTTAAAATCGGTTACTGCATGGAAACTTCTGAAATTTTGCTGAGATTCATATTTTAGCTGTTTGATCATGTTTGTAAAATATGGGAATTGTTAGAGTCCGTTTGGTTTCAGTTTGGATTTAAATTCGATAAACTGCTAATGCTCGTTTGAATTTTTAAAAATAGCAGCAGTTATCATTTAAGGCTGAAATTTTTATAAGTGGACTTTGGCAAACTGTATGTTGCTGTGTAAAATTTTCAGGTTCAGATTCGGTCATTAAGTCTGAGTATGAATTAACGTGCCCATTTTACTGATATACTGTTCGAATTTTATAAAATAGGGTATTTTGAGTTTAAAGCTGAAACTTTGTGGTTTTACATGTTGCTGGAAGATGAAATTTTGGGTAAATTTTCAGAGTTTAATACGTAGGGTAGCTTGACCATCTATTTTCATGCGATTAAATGATTTCTATTTCCGAACATGATTTTTATGAAATTTTGGGAATCGACTTGCTTTTAGTTTTTATGTGAGTTTGACTTGGTCAATCCTTAGATGGATTCATATGATCTGGTGTATGTGTTTTGATCAAGTTAAGAGCTGAGTCTTAGTGTTCCAATTCCACAGGACTTCACGAACTACTTAGTCGAAACAAGTTCGACTAGGTCTGCTTTTGTGATTTCCGATTAAAGTCAAGATAGATATTCATTGTAGGATCTTGACATAATGTAGGTGTTTGAGGAGTCGAGCCTCGGTCCTCATCTTTTCTGATTTGCTATCATCAATCCGAAATTTCCAGGTGGGTTATTCTAAAATTATCTATGCATATGTGTGATTTAAATTGTGATGAAAGTTTGGTGTGATCTATGTATGAAAATGAACATGTAGCCTATCGATGTGAGCTTGATGGCCGTCGATACGGTTGTCCCCGTATGATAAGATACGGTTACCCTGTGAGGTAAATCTCATTAAGACCTATGAGAAGGCCGTGTCATTGATGTGGCACGCACTCCCATGTTTCACTGATATGGCATGGCTTAGCTTTGATGAGCATAGATGTACATGTGTGAGTCTTTGATGAGACTAGAGTCATTGATGTGACTAGAGATGTGACATGATTTAATTGTTTATGTTCATGCTGCGACCATACCATTTATAAGTTATTCATGTGCATAGTGTGAGTACGATAGTTAACTGTACTCACTCCCACCTGCTCGTAACTGATGCAGGTTAAGCAGTTGGCGGTGACGAGACGAGATGACGAGTGGTGGTTATGACATTTATTTATTTAATTTTGCTTCCGCTTAGTTTATGAACTCATGTCGAGACTTGGATATTGATCATGTCGTTTGAAACTTGGGAGTTATGAATTATCTTTTGTGATTTTGAATTTAATGAATGCTAGTGAGGTTTATGATTTAATATTGGAGCATGCTATCTTTCTTTAATGTGGTTGCTTTTGCGGATAAAAGCTTTTGGTAAAATAAGTAGCGCCCACTGAATTTTAAGTTAAATTTAAGTTTTAAAAAAAAATTAAATTACTGTGATTTTTGTTAAATAAATTCGATAAGTATTTCAAAATAAAGTGGGGCGTTACAATGATCTCGCGCGAGAAAATCAAAAAGTACATTGATATGCTATTAAGTTTGTTTTTTACTTTTAAAATTTTGAATATTTTTTTTTAAAACAACCAAAATAGCAGATTCGACCAAACTATATAAATATATTACCTTTGTTATATATGTACATATAATGTATTTTGTACAAAAATAAAACAATATAAATTATTAAATAAAACATTAAAATACTAAATACAATTTTATTACATAAATTTAAAATTATTTTGGCTATTTTGGTTAGCTCGATTAACCGATCAAATAAATCTATTATGATGTTCTTAAGTTGGTTGACACAAATCAATAAAAAAATAATTGCACTCCGAATGCACATTAGTGGTATAAGGATTGCACATGATTGACTGACATATTGCAACATAGCGAACGAAACTGACTAAACTGAGTTTTTGAGTCCGAATGTTTTGGATATCCAATTTTACATTTTCATTTTTGGTTATTTCAATTTAGGTTCAGTTTCCTTTTATTAAAATGAAATGTTATTTTGTTATTTATATATTTTAGGTATTTACAAAAAAAAATATTAAAATATTAAACAAAGCGTAAAACACTGAATATAATTTTTATAACGTAAATTATAAATTGCTTCGGTTAACTAATAAAATAAACTTACTATTTTTTCCGATTTTAGTTTGGTTTGGGGCAAGACAAAATAAACATGCATGCACTACGGGTGCACGATAATGTTATACTGGTTGCACATTAATGACTACTACATTCCACAATAGCATCTGAAATCGACCAAATCAAAATTTTCGGATCGTAATTTTATATTTCAGTTTGATTATATATTGTTTTTAATCTTAAAGAGAATAACTGCACACAATATTGCACAAATCATTTATCAATATTGCATATTTATTATTTTTTAATTAGTTCGTATAAATATCACAATATTTTTTTAATATGAGTGTATACACACAATATTGTGCAGTGTACTTATTAATGTTGTTCAATTTTAAATTTTTAACAAATTGTAATTTTGACTCATGAATTGAATTGTAATATAGTTAAATTTTATTAAATTGCAGATAAGTCCCTAGGACTTATCTAATTTACAAAAGCAAACCCCACAAATTCTAACCAAGACCTCGGCCGCATAGCCTCCCGTAATTCACCGGATACCCGCTGCAGCTGCTCACACACGCGACCATTGGAAATTTGGAATGTGCTGATGAATACCGGATGAAGCCCAGCAGCGGCGACCTGAATACGAATGCAAATCAGAACTGAGGGCAGGGAACAATCGTCGTCTGCATCCTGCCACCGTTGAACCGATTTTTCATGCCTGCGCAGATCGATGGCATGGAACGAATGACGATAAATGAGATACGCGGCTGTGATATCATCGAAGCTTGTCGGCGGGAGGATGAAGCAGCCGACGCCGGGAGAAAATGTAAAGAAGGAAGCCGAATCTTTTGGCGGAGATGGGCAGTCGGGGGGAGATGGTACGAGTGAGATGTGGCAAGCGGTGGCAAGCGGCGGCGGGCAGCGGCCGGTGGTGGTAGATGGTGGCGGGCTGCAAATCTGGTGCGAGCTTGAAGTCAAATGGCCTGAACCAATTTAAGACGTGTGTGTGTATGTGTGTGAGAGAGAGTACCAATGAGGTTTAATTGTGGTGGTGGTGATGGGGCCCACGTGGGGCATGTGGTTGAGTATGTAGTGCGTAATTACCAAATTGCCTTTATTTTTAGTGGTCAAATGTATACATATGATCACGAAGTGTACACCTATTTACAAAATTACCACAACATATTTGAATACTATATTTAAAATTTGATTTGATCATGATCATTGATATGTTGGATCCAATGGTACATATTTATTCTTATTTCTTTCACTATCTACTGTTCTCATTGGATCTCAACTCTATATGTATATATATATATATATAGGAAGGATCATATGAGAATGACTCTTAATGCGAGAAATGAGAATGATCTTGGATCATTGGATCTAACATATTAATGGTCATGATCAAGTCAAAATATGGTCAATCATTTATGGTAATATGGTAATTTAACATATATTGTGGTCAAATGTACATATTTGACCACTAAATAAGGATAAAATTGTCATTACACAAACCATACATCAATGCCAACTCAAAGTGGGTCCCGCCCTCATTAATCTAACCTAATCACACTTTCCCTCTTCTCTCACACATACTCAGACACATACTTAAACGCAGACACACACACACACACACACACACACACACACACACACACACAATTTGCATCCAAGATCCAACAGCCGTCCGCCACCCCGCCGCCCGCCGACGCAAGCTTCCCGCCGCCGTCTGCAATATGACCCGTTCATCCATCTCGTCGAAGACTCGCCGGCCAAGGTGGATTTCTGAAACTCCGGAGAGAACCAATCGGAGTACCGCGCTTCCGCAGCCCATCAACCGGACCGATTGTGGTCGTCGTCGCGGCGATAACGGCTGTTGCTATCGTCTGTCTGTTGTCCTAATCGCCGGTGATGTATTTTGGAAGGACTGACGGCGATGGTTACCGTGGGAGAAAGGGCGGAGGAGAATGGCCGATTTTCTTTTTTCTTTTGTTTGGGCGGAGGACGGCGGCGGTTGTGTGTTGTGCGCGAATCGACGCCGGTGGTTTGCTGAAGGAGATGGACAGCCGGGGAAAAAATATTGTGATTGTGGATCTGTTTGTTCGTTCATAATTTTGAATGAGAATTGTGGGGTTTTTTTTATGTAGATTAGATACACTATAGGGGCTAACCGAGACAGTTTTCACCTCGATAAGTCAGTGTAGTTTAGGCGAGCCGCTTCCCTTTTTGGGCACTGGACCTAGTTACCGCTCCATGCCCCTATCCAACGGAAGACCTTGGTGTGATCGCTGCAACCGTTCCTTGTTCCCGTCGAAAGTCAGTATTTGCAAATTTTAAAACTGTAATTGAAATAGTGACTTGCTGGGATTATTTATTTGAAGAATTGATTAGAATATAATTGTTGCTCAATTATACATCTTAAAAATATATTAAATATAGGTTGTTGATAAATAATTTTAACAATATATATGGTTATTCAATTTATTTTTTCATAAATTTTATTATTACCATTTTATTTTTTTTAATAATATTTTTATGTTATTGTTTGATTAAAAAATTAGTATATACGTACATAAAATATACGGTGCAATCTAACAGTTATTAAAGTGCAATTCGTCCAACAATATAGTGCACGGTGTTGGTCTGTATTGTGCATATCGAACCAACCGAATACTTGTCCTGAGTCAAATTGAAAATGAACATAATTAATCAATATTTTTTATTCGGGCAACCCAAATAATAGAAATAATAATTTATTTATATCAAGATTATATTTAATATGTTATTAATTTTATTTTTTATTTTTATATTATTTCAAGCTTAAAAAATTTGAGTTTGGTAGGTTCTGATTTATATGGTGCAATCTGACAGCGGTTAAAGTGTAACGTGGTGTTCTGTAAAGTGCAACTCGATATTTTATAAAGTGCAACATACTGAAGTATAAAGTGAAGCGATGATAAAATGTGGAGTGTGATGATAAAGTGCAACGTGTTGTGTTATAAAATGCAATTTGATGATATATAAAGTGCACTAATTTATATGATCACGTATAAATTATGTGTTTTTGAAACCTAGAATTAGTAGACGTAATTGAACATCGAATTAACCTAAATAATTTAAATAAATTATTATTTATTATTATAAAATTATATATATTATTTTGTTATTTTTATATATTAAAAAATTTTACATATTAGCAACTCGATATTTTATAAAGTGCAACATACTGATGTATAAAGTGAAGTGATGATAAAATGTCGAGTGTGATGATAAAGTGCAACATGATGTGTTATAAAGTGCAATTTGATGATATATAAAGTGCACTAATTTATATGATCACATATAAATTATGTATTTTTGAAACCTAGAATTAGTAGACATAATTGAAAAATCGAATTAACCTAAATTATTTATTATTATAAAATTAAACCATAAATCGAATTATGTATTTATTCATTTAAAAAAAATCACTTAAACCATAAATCCCTAATTTTAATTTGTAAATTTAATAAACATATATATTTTAAATTTTAATATTTTATATAATAATTTTATAGTGTTTTTAGCTTGTATAAAAAATATATACAAAATGATAAAGTATTTATATTATTTCTATAAATTACAGATTGGCCCATAGGCTAATTGGAATATAGTTATACCTTTTTGAATTTATATATTGACCCCAAGGTTTCAATTGCAATTAACCAAAAACTCTTCAAATTTCAAATCAATCCTTACAACTTATTAAATTCTCAAATAATAGTCCTCAGCCCTAAAACCGTCTCCTCAACCGTTTCACCACCGACGGCGAACCTCCGACCTGCCGCACCGCCCCATCATCGATCCTCTCGCCGGAGAGGAAGCCTACGAGCCATTGCCAACCGCCTGACTCACGGAGAGCTTGCAGCGGCGGCCGAAAATTTCACGGGCGACGAGCATCGGCCCTAATTTCCTATGTTCCGTCACTGCACTCACGGAGAGGGATGTGGCTATCGCTGCCGCCGCGAATTGATTGTAATCGGAGTCAACTGTCGGCGGCTGGGAGAAGGCAAAGTTCGGCTGTGTGCTTTGGCGAGAGAGAGACAGAGCGTGGGATGCTCCGACGGCTGCAGGGGTGTTCCGGCAGCGGCATGAATGCTCCGTTGGCGGCGTGGGATGCTCAGGCAGCGGGGGTTCTCCGGCAACAGTGGTCGTTTGTGTGTGTGTGTCTGTGTATTGGAAGGCAGTTGTGAAGGTTTTAATTTTTCTTTTGTTTTTTCTGTCAAGATGTGAAGGTGTGTGTGTGCAGGTGCGTGTAGGTGGCTGTGTGTGTGTGTGTGTGCATGTGTTGTGTGTGTGGGTGCGTGTGTTTTTTGTGTGTGTGCGTGTGTTTGTGTGTGTTGGTGTCGGTGATGTGGCGTGTGTTTGTATGTGTGTGCGTGAGTGGGTAGAGAGAGAGGGTGAGGTGGCAGGGATGAAGTGGTTGTGTTGTGGAGGGAGTCCCACTGCCTTGGTGTTGAAAAATACTAAATTACCCTTAATGATGGTATAAGTATGACTTTTTTTTAGCCATTAGATCATCCGATCTAATGGCCAAGATGTGTTCTTATTTCTCGCATTAAGAGTCATTCTCACCGGAGCGTGACCATATATATATATATATGATACAGCGCTAGTATTTTTTTTCTTTTTTTTTTATTTTCTTTCATTTATATATTTTGTATAGATTTTCCTTTTTTATTATTTTTTATTTATATATTTTTGTATGATTTTGTTATTATATATAAATATATATATATATATGATAGATATTAGATATATATTATTGGATATAAAATTATTGATACATATATATACATATATATATATATTATTGATAAAAAATAATATGTTTGATGTAGAGTAAAATATAGAGATAAGGACTGGAAATGAATGTTCAACTCTACTCTAGAGTAGAGTAAAGTCCGCGTTAGAATAGAGATAAGGGTTGGAGATGGCCTTATAGTATATGTGCGTGTAATTTTTGTCAACTGTGTTTGTGTGTACGTTCGATTCGGGGCTTGATCTGTGTTCATAAAGGAGTGATGCCTTTTATTACTTTTGTTCTCTCTCTCTCTCTCTTTCCCTCTCTCTTATTTATTTATTTTATCTCTCTCTCTCTCTCTCCCTTATTTATTTTCTATTTTTTTAACTCTTATTTATTTTCTGTTGAACTGCTGCAATTTCCTTATAGCTCTGTGCATGAAAATCGTGCTATAAAAATTATATATTTCATCAAATATAAAAATGCTTGGGATGTATAATTGATGAAGGCAAGCAAATAGAGATGAAACTTGAAAACTCTGATTTACAAAATATTTTCCAATTGGTGTTTGTATTACACTGAAACTACAAATGAACAGCCTCGATTGTTCAACCATATTCAATCAAGAGATCTTATCCACAGTATTCCCAAGAGAAAACGGGTAGAAGAAAGGGATAACTTTGCATTAAATTTCTAAATATCACTAATACATTTGCAAAACTATCGCTTTATGCTATAAATTTTTTCATGGAAACTCGACAATACAGTCTTAACAGAGTAGAGAAGCTTTTATGCCTACACCAAACAAAACAAAGAAAAATCAGACAAAAATGTGGTATAAACTATAAAAGCTGCAATGAAAACCCCTGAATTCAGAAATAAATGATCTCCTGTAGAAGCTGAGTAAATTTGATGCCCTCAAGCTCAAGTGCAATACTCTCCATGTCCAGCTGGAGGTTCATCCATCTCTTGTCAGCCTCCAAATCAACCAACTTGCACACATCATAGAGCTCCACGAAAACATCAAAATCCACCAACTTCTTCTCAGCCCTGCCATCTTCCACAGACTGCCACGTCATCTCGTTCTCAGACCTGTCAAGTTTTTCATCTGAACATAAGGAATTATTACATTTCTCATTTTTCTCTTCCAAACGGTATAATATATGATCATTGTTTACAGTGGAGAGTATGCTATCCGAATCTTGACTAGGATAATAAAAATCAAGGTTGGATAGAGATTGTATCCTTCTCAACTGTGTAGGCTCACTTGTGTATTCGCTCCTCAATTTCAAGCTCTTGGAGACATTCAACAGATGAGTATATTTAACGACTAATGACCCATCTACGCAAGCACACTTTTCTTCATCATTAACATTTTGAAATTTGTTCACCCAATTTTCTCTCTGTTTATTTTCGAGATTGGCGGGCTTGAGCTTTCTTCTCGGGAAAGAATGTGATTTCGTCAACTTTTCTTTGTCGTTTTTTTGTAGATGTTTCCTGAACAGCTCTTTATCCACTTTGAAAATGTCCAAGACCTCTCGAGTCGTGTGGTCAAATGGTTGACTGGCTTTCCAGTGATCATCCAGAGATTGGAGGTGGTGTACGGAGTATGTTCTTTGTAAATTTGGTTTTGGAGATGAGCCCTTGTTGCTTCGTCTTTCTTTATTTTCTCTGTACGTCTCGTCAGCCATTAATGCTCTTATGCGTGCCTAGATAGTTTCTTTTCTACGTGAAACTTGATAAATTGAAAACAAAAATACTTGAGTTATTAAACAACTGAGTAGAAGTAGTTGTAAATTGAGATAATTTAATAATAACTCACAATGTAGGGACTCTCATTTTCAGAAAGAAGCTTGTGTGCTTCATCATTATCCGGGTAATAGGTTTTCAGCTGGGGACTCGAGATGGCTGTTGACATCAAATGTTCAAGTAAAGATGATTTGATGGGACTAACCAAATATCACGCGAGTTTACGTTTTATCATTATTATTTATATTTTCTTGAAAAATTGTGCGTACATTTGACATTGGTTGGGTGTTGGTATATGCGCTGCTTTATCTTCTTCCTCATATTAGGGTGCCAATTGTGGTAGTCAAGTGCATGGACTAATCCCCAAATGCAACTAGGCTGCCTCTCATCATCCCAATCTCTCCTTTCCAAATTCTTTACCATTATTAATTCAAACGCCTCGCCTTATAATGTAGTCCTTCAAATCTATTCAACAACAATTTCATCATCATTTTCTCTTGCATAGATTAAACCCAAATATGACATGTATGATACGAACTTGCATTTTATGCAGACAACTAGATATTGGTGTAAGGTAAGAAGAAGGTAAGAAGTTACTGGTTTTCCTGATTTTTTTTTCTTTTTGAAACAACTCTGTTGTGATGCCTCAATAAGTTTCTTATTAAACATATTGTTGCAATCTCCACAATTTGAGCATCTCGGGATCAATCTTATATCGAAATAAATAAGAGTAATCGAATATCAAGAATACATGGAAAATATAAAAAATATGGAGAACACACAATAATATGATAACATTTCTGAAAATTACCATGCTTAATCTGAGCTCTAAAAATCAGGTAATTAATTGATTGGAAAGAAAGAGTGGCCTACTTGTCTGTAGTTAAAACTCACCATCTAGCTTATACTAGTCTGGATTTGATGTCACGGGTACAAATATAAGATAAGAGAAAATAAAAGACAACAAAAACACAACTACTCAATCAACACTCTTCAACTGTCCAGAACAAATCAATTGGAACCATAGATTAAATAAAGATTAAAAGAGGGTTCCAATTTCTTTCCTAATCTCCATCAATATATCTTTGGGGACACAACAAAAGAGAACAAAATATTGAACTATTGCAGTAGAAAAATAAAAAACAAAGTTATGCCAAAAATAATTAGCAGGGGAAGCTGATGGATCATACAAATGAAATATATATGAACTGGAGAACTCACAACTCATCAATAGCTTCAAAGTCCAACAAATTACAAAGATTTACCTTCCTGCCCATGAAAAACGAAACCAAAATCACTTGAATGAGTTTCAAGTTTGCTGAGCGAACAAGAAAAATGTGTAGAGACAAAAGGATGAGAGCGCACATAGATGCATGATACAATTGAGTTTTAATATACCATTCAGTCCACAAGTAGTTATTCATTTATTTATTTACTATGGTTTAGTTGCACTTGAATTAACGTGTACGATAGACCAAAGATCTATTGAATATAGAAAACGACTTTATAAACCGGTCGCCGAAGCATTTACCCGTCAACTACTCCCTAATGTTATTATAATTTAGATTACAAACGTTATTATNNGCTTCTAAATAAATGTTTTTAGTGATATGGAAAGAATAAAGATCAACACTCAACAGGTGAATGGTATTGATTTTTATTTTTCAATGGACGATTATTTTTTAATTCTTGTAACCATCAAACAGAAGTAAATCAGAGTTATTTATAATAAGAATTTTGCAGTCTTTCAAAGTATTGCAGTCGGTTCTTGACTGTTTTTATTAGAAGGATATCTAAATACAATTTGTCTCCTCAAACTATCACGACTTTCTATTTTATTTAATTACATAGACGATACGTATTATTAGGTTGGACGAAATCCATAATGAAATGGGAAAATATAATTTTCAGCAAAATTATGAAATGTGCGGAAGAAATGTAAACATAGCTTCCAAATAAAGGAGAAAGTTTGCAGTTATTTGTCGTACTTCATTTAGTTAAAGGATTGGGTTAATAAAATATGTTGTAAAAGCCGTTTTAGTATTTCAATATGAAAATGTTAGTCACGATAATATATCTTTGTTGTTTTAATTCAGAGCCATGAAAACGAGTTGACGGAGTAAGTTTTGAGAGATGAGATTAGATGGCCAACCATATGACAAAAAGAAAAGGAAAAAATGTGTTTTGCTGATTAAGGGGAAGAAGTCAGACCAACTACTCTTGGTTCTTTCGATCCTTCTACCTGCAGACAAACAAGCCAAATGAATACATGATAATGTTATTTTTATAATTTTTTTTCGGTTCAAGCTTTCATGTATGATGATGCCGAAACAGAATATGCATGATAATATTATTTTTATATACTAGTAAAGTGCACGTGCGATGCAAGTGAGAAAAATTGGGTTGCTTTTTTATTTTTTCTTTTGGATAATTTAGTTTGTGTTGTTTTCCGAGTTCCATAGTTGTGCATAATATCATTTGCAATACCTTTTATATTTTCTTCTTGTCGTTTTGTACTGAATTATATTTAGTGGGAATTTGAAGATATTGAAATGATATATGAAACTACCAATGCATAAATATTCGAAAGAGAATGGTTTCCAAATTAAAATAAAAGTCAAATAACTTACTATGGAAAAACAAATTGTCTATAAAAATAGAGAACTAATTAAATAAAAAACTAATACGAATTACTGTTCCTTCAATTCTTCTCCTTCTTTATGTTGACGATTGGAGATGGTTTCCTTCTTTTTGCTTTTGTACTTTTTCTTGCACATTTCTTTTTAAAACTACTTATTGTCTCATGATTTTCAACTTCAATAACACAATTATTTTCATCTTCTATTATTTTGTTGATGGATCGCTTCTTTCTGCTCTTGGTCCTTTTTGACGATTTGTCTTCATCCACACGACGATCATTAGGGTTGTCTAATGAAATTGTTTGTTTATCATTCATTTCTTCATCATGTGTAGTTTGCGACCTTGCAATTTTCCTCTGCCACTGCATTGAATTCTCCTCTTGAGTTGAACGACTTGTCATTGACTGGAACTAGGAATTGAAATTTAGTTGTGGACTGTACGCTCAACCCTCTGTAATATCCAGATAGTTATTCTCCCTAATGAACATGGAAAAATAAGTCTTTAATAAATATTATACTTGACGATTCATGTGAGTTTTAAAATAAGAATACATTTGACCTACTCAATTGATCTGAGATAATCATTAATAGGACATCCAACGTACAAAATTGCGGCATCCTCAAGTAAATTTATAGTCGCATTGTTTTATATCCCACGACGTTTAAGACCAACCTCTATTTGCGATGATTGTATATTTTTTTGTAAATATTTTTGTATATATAAAATATTAGACGTGGTCTTTTTGTGATGTTTAGTACCTTGGAGTTGGTTCCACGACTTTGTTGTTGCACTTTTTGCATGACTTGCTGTCGTCGTTCTTCTCAATTGCAGCGGCACAATTTTTACATGATCATCATACCACAAAGATGCTTTATTCATGACCTTATCCACGTATCCTTCTAAAGAATAGAATTTTTCTTGTGATGAAAAGAAAAGTATAATGAAAGTTGTATAAAATTTAGATATGTAAAATAAAAAACAATAATTATATTTTGTCTAATCATATCATAATGTCACACATGACATGTTCCTCATTGGATATTCTCCATAGATTACGACAAAAATTATTTTGGTCCTAATTGTCTATTAAAAAAATATTAATTTAACGCAGATCAAATTTAGTACACTGGCTTACAAATTAAAGTTATGAGAAAATATATACCATTTGGTAAGTAGTGTTTTAAAAACGATCAAAATTGCTATAATAATGAAATGTTTTTTTCTATTTTAATGATTGGGCAATTTTAGAAGTGTAGACTATTTATATAATATGATATAATCATATTAAGTGTAGAATTTTGGCAGGAAAAATTGACTTATTTATTTTACTTGTTTATTTAATGTACCTTATTAAGCTTCTCTCAGTTGAACAAAATTGATGTAAGGTCACAACCTTGACATCCTTCATCTTTTGTTTCATCGACATTTCAAGCAAATTCATAGTCTTGTCATGTGCTTGCAACCTAATAAATATTGCATAGACACAGAATATCTTATTATTTTGAATATATTGTACTATATTACATCTACTTCCCTGAATTTAGAGTATATCATTGACGAAATTGCTTGTTTTCTTCACAAGACGCATTGATTTCCAGAATAGATGCGTTGTTTGTTTGCAATTGCAATTGACCTTGTGATATAAAAGTGAACAGTGTTAGAATAGACACTCCAGTTGTTTCACCAATAAAAAATTGTAGAATATAAATACCAATTCTCAGCATTAATTATTTTTAGTATTTATTAAAAAAATGTATTATGTCTTACTGTTGTATATTTTCGGTGTTGTTAGCTTACTAAACATTACGAACGATCTTTGTATAACCATATCATGTAGAGTCGATCATTCATTTTGTGCCATATCATCCCATAGGGATACTATAATGGATCGACACCTATAAGCACAAAGAATGTAACTATTTATATATGTTGTTGTTGTTGTTGTTGTTGTTGTTGTTGTTGTTGTTGTTATTATTATTATTATTATTATTATTATTATTATTATTATTATTACAAATATGTTTTTAAATATAATCAATGTTTTAAATTAAATAATCATTAAGATTTGTGTAATTCTATATTTTAAACATGTAGAATTAAATACGCACTCCCGGTCCATAATAGTAATCTCTCTTTTGGGCTTCTTTCCACCCCTTGTTTTTGTTATAATCTTGGAGTCTTTCACCTTCATAACAAGCCCACATATATTTGCGAGCAAAAATAATAAACTGTCCTTGTTGAAGTCATGCACATAATAGTATTAATAACCAAAATGAGAGTAAATATATGTACCAATCTTTTCATTTTCATGAAGTTGTCTCCGAACTTCATAAAATTATAAGGGATATTGTGTTCTATTTCTTTAGAGGCGACTTTGGTGTTAGTATAACTCTTCAAATGAATTTTTGTATGATTCTTTAATTTTAAATAAATTATGTTGTACAATTATAGTTTAACAATATTATATCTGATGCACAATTATTAATCATTCTATTCATAAATATAGTTGTATGCAGGGGGTTCAAATAGGTATAATAATGTTTAACAGTGATATAGATGAATGGAGGATGGGACCTCTTCAATGGAATGGAGTTCAAACTATAGGCTGCTCTTTTAAAAGTTGGTGGTGGCATCTTTGCACTATCAAGAAGACACAGGTTGTGGAGGACAGAATACAACTCACCACTTACCTTCTGTGGTGGTTGTGGAAAAGCAGGAATCTGTGGATGTTTGAGAAAATCAACTTACCTGTCAATGTGATGATCAAAAGAGCATTAAAAGAT